AACAGAACATTTTAGGATTCACTTTAAGATGATGGAATGAATAGTGATCATTTTATATAGAAAGAACTGCCTGGAACCTTTCTGCTTAAAAGGGGGTATAGGAAAGGTAAGCAGTGAGTGATGAGCCAGCAAAAGATTTTAAAGGACAGCTCCATATTTGATGTCTTCTCCCCCAGTCACCCTTTGGGGAGATGCACTCAGTCTTCAGACAGTAGGTTCTTGGTGTGATCACAACGGCCTCTTTGTATCTCCAACATGCCACCTCACACAGTATTTCATTATATGGGTTTTTATGCTTACCCGGTGTAGCAATGTCTCCAGGGCAAAAGATGTGTTTTATTTATTTTTGCATCCCTAATGTTTAGCTCAAGAGCTGGACTCACCAAACAAATGCTGGATGATTAAGTGAGACAATAAACAAGGTTCAGGCAGTTGAAGCAGAGAATGGGGAAAGACTTGGAAGAATACTTAGCATGTAAACACGATTTGGTGACTGGTTCACAGGGGTTGTTAAGAGGCTAAAGGAGGATAAGCACAAGTTGATGATGGCTACAGTTTGGAAATGTCACTGCAGTGGAGTATATTAGAGCATACCAGAGGGGAGCAAACTGTTAAGAAATATTAGTTCTCCCTTTGGGACACATTGCCTTTGAAATGCTATAAGGCAGTGGTGGTAAACTTGGGGCACATGTGCCACAGGGGGCTGTTTGTATCACTGTAAGCTCTCAAAGGCTCACCATCACTGCTCTAAGGTAGTCTCCTAGCTCATTCTGTGACAGCAGTAAGATGTTTACGTAGAGGAGATACTCAAAAATATCTGTTGAATAAATTGTCATTACTAATTTGTTAGAAAATAGCTATGCCAATAATTAAATCCTGGGGTTTTCTAAATCAGTTAACTATATTTGGTCCATTTGTTCTTTTCTCTCCAAATGTCACTATTTCAGTTTTTTTAGGCAGATAAATTTAAAGATTTTTTTCTTTACTGTGTTTAGATAGTACACTTTTAATATTTAAGGAAAAAGAGAAAAGCATTATTTCATGCTACATAATCATTTATTTATTTAAGATCAAATAATAAAAAAAATAGTTTAAGATTAAATAATAATGGAAAATAATCTCTAACAAAGAACTGAAATTCCCTTCTCTTTTCTTTCATAGTATCAGCATCAAAAGAAACCTGTTGGTTTTATTGCCAGGTCATGATGCCAGGTGGTTTTTGTTGACTGAATCAAAACCTGCAGTTATATTTGTCAGAAAATAAAGATATACAAAGTCTATACAGCTGATTAGACTAATAATCATGCAGCTGTTGTTTGTGGATTTGCCTCTTCTGCAACTAGACTTGGGCTGATGGAACTACCAAATGTTTTCCAGGCTTTAGCTTTGTCACAGTAGATGTCTGCCACATAATGAAAGGCATCATCCAAGACTTCTCTTGGGCAGCTACCTGGATTCTGTTTGTTGCCCTGTGTAAACACATTGGGAAAACAAAATTCCATTTCCATCGATGAAGAGAAACACCTGCTTTTCTAATCAGTGGCAGCATTCTAGTCAACATCGATGCACACCGGTTGGGAAACTGTGGATTCACGGTGGCAACATACTGTCTTTTGGTAGCTTGACCATTAAAAGAGATGCTCCCCGACCTTTAATCTCACCTATGGCATTAAGAGCGCACCGCATCAGGCTCATTATGTCTATTGCAGAATGATGAACACAAAGCAAGTAAGAAGCATCAAAGTGTTTATTGTAATGATCATGTCACTTCTTCTCAGGCATCCTTGACTTTATTAGGGGAACAATTTCATTGAATACCAGAAGATACACCCCACGAGCCGAGGTTCCCATGACTCTTAATATGACTGCTTCTCATTCTTGCTATTATTCTCTGATAAACCCTTTTTTGGGCCAAACTCACAAGCATAGGGCAAAAACAATTTTTCATCAGAGCGTATGCCCTCTAATATATTTTACACAACTTTAGTAACCACCTTTTCCCTGGCTTGTTTCATTGTCATCAAGTCATTGTTTATATGGAGTTTTAGCTTTTTTATTATAGTAAGCTAACAGTGTTTCAGATGTGGTCACGTTTTAAAAAGATCTTTAAAACATTGGTGTCACCAGTAGAGACTTACTGGGGTATCATTGGTATAAATTGTCCAAAAGTTAAACAACAGTTGTGCCAAAGCAGTGAATTTAGAGACTTTATGATAAAGTGAGTCAATTGAAAAAGACTATGTTTTCAACTCCATATTGTAACTGGAAAGGCAAATGTCTCCAGAATTGTATTTTTTAGTTTAATCATAAAAATTTCAAGCTGGATGACCCTACATAGGAATAACTGAGATAATGTTGGGGAGACTTATGTAGCTTGCCATCAAGACAGCATACATTAGAAATATAATTAAGAAGCAATTTGTACATGATAAGTATATAAAAATTATAAAATCAAATATTTTTTCCTGACATGCCCAGATCATTATTTTGCAAATTAAGGAAATATTTACTGGAAATATTTATAAACTAATATTTTAGTTCTGATGTTTCAAAGAGTCTTTTTGTGGCTTTCACATTCCAGGACATTTAGTATAAACCAGTTGACATTATGGCAGGAGATGTGTGTAATACAATCATGTGGGAAGGATATTTTCTGTTTTTAATTGGAGCCATACTGGAAATCATTGGAGGACATTTCCTTTTCAGACTTTCAGAACACAAAAGCTGAAAAAGAAAAGCAGACGCCCTCCCCCCACACCAAAATACTAATTGAAGACACATTGTATAAACATAAATAAATAAATAAATAAATAAATAAATAAACCTTTTCTAAAAGAGGCGCAATGCCCCAGCCCCTGTGTTGTCTTTCAAACTTCTCCGTTTCTGTGCGTTTGGCAACCAGCAGCTTGTTTTGTGACCAGCTGTGACCCTGGGCTCCCTCAGCTGCAAGTTCATTGCTTCTTTCTCTTCTAAGCTACTACTCTTTTGTTTCTGACTTTTGACTTTTTTACAAGTAGGATGAGTACTTTACAGGTGGTATATTTATGTGTGGAAGCAATTAGTAGACATAGTACCTTACAGTTTAAAATACCGTTCTGCAATAGCATGGCCAAGCTGCAAGCTGCTCAATCCAAGCTTAAAATGTCATGTTCTCTACTGTGGCTGCTGGCTCTCATTTCTCTAAGATGCAGTTCCACTGGTCAAATAAAAGAATAATGTAAAACCATCAGTAAATTATACAGAGTTAGTGCGCTGTTAATAGCTTTGGGGATATTTATAAGAATCTGGGGAACAAGATGGGATTTTACACCGAGTTAAAGACTGAAAAAAGATTCAGAAAGGAACTTTAGTTGTCATCTCACTAGTCGGCCAACCAGTGAAAGGATTCTGGCTCACAAAGGGAGGCAAACAAAACAGAATGGGTGCATCAGCATCTGATAGCAAGGTGAAAAGGAGTGACTGGAATCTCCTGAGACCAGATCCAGAGTTTCCAAGAAACCTCATATTCCAAACACAGGAACCTATGCAAGACTTTCAAAAGAGTGGACAAAATCCAGCTTGGCAAACCCTTGTCTCATCAAAGGAGTTGTGAGATTAAAAAGAAGGAAATGAATTTCTACAAGAGTTTCCCAAATGTGCCCTGATTTTTCTTCTCTTTGGGGAAGTGTTTCATCCTTGCTTTAAATCAAGGGAGGAGGCACTCAAGAGATCCACTGGGAGAGCTGGACATGTGTCCATCTTGCAGTGAGTGTTCGAACTGGCACGAGGCACTGTGGCTCTTGATCATCTAAGGTGATAGTGAGGATGAGCGAGCAGGAGCAGATCAATGGCTGCACTGAAAATTAATTTTATTTCCAACAAGAGCAGATCAGGGATGCAAGAGTATGTCTGTAGACCAAACAAGGACAACTAAGTACAGCAAGCCTGATGCCATGTGAATATTCTCCAAGAAGATGCCTGGAGGAGTGATGTGACTTTCAACAGAGTGCTGATCGACAGTGGGTTACAAGGGGCCAAAGAAAGAATCTATCTGCAAGAGAGTTATTGCCTCTGTCAAGAAGGCTGCAATCAGAAGGTGCTAGTGGGGAGTCCTTTCAAGTTCACAAAAACACTCCTCAAAAAGGAGGAAGTGGCACGCTATACCCAGAAAGCATATTGGTGGTTTATGTCCTTATCACCATGTAAGACTTTTCTCATCTTCACTGTCCCTTTCCACTCTAGTTTGATCCCAAAAGAGGTAGAAAAGAGAACAGCAAAGCAAAATGGAGAAATAACAAAGAAATCCCCTGCGTTCTTTCCCCTACTTTTGAGACCCGCAGCTCTGAGTTGGGGAGGGGAATGAGGTGTGGTTATGAAACAAGCTGGGACGAATGTAGTGCTGAAGTGATAAGCCTACCTGCAAAAGTGGTTGGAAAGTGGTTAGGATTTTTTAAAGCTATGGGACCTATGCAAAATTATATTCAAATGATAGGGTGGAATAATACACACAGGAGTTGAAAATACAGGAAGGAAAAAAATAAAATTGTTTTTTCCTGTCACGTTATGGGCTCAGCCTGTTTAATTACTGTTTACACATAAAATCATTATTAGCTTTGGGGAAGAAAACAATTACTCAAAATACGGGCCTTACTGTTACACACTGACTAAACCATTCATTAGTTTGCACATTAAATAGTTGACTTTCAAGCTAGAGAGTTGTGTCACTTTCTTTGGGTGAGATTTCTGATAGGAAAGGTTGAAGTCTGCTGGAGAAGGTGAACCCTTCCCAGGTTGTCTTCGTCCTGAAGACACCGAACAATAACCCTAGATTTTTAGTGTCTAAACCCACATTTTTTTCAGTGCCTCTTTTACACAGTCAAAGTTGTCATTACTACATACGTGAGCAGAGTGATGAACACATCATTTAATCTCCCGACATCATTTTTGTATGTACAAAATAAGACAGACAGTACAATTTTCAAAAATCAAAACCATAAACATCAGAGAGCCAGCACAAGTACCTCATGGAAATGACATCCACAGTTGCCCTGAAGAAACTCTTTGTATCGCCCCATTGTGATACTGAATGTGTCAACTACTTCATAGCCATATTGCTTTGCGGTATCCAGAATAATCACATTTTCTTTCCATAAGTTTTGAACTTCACTCTGTATTACGAAGCCAAGCAATAAGCATTTTAAGAGGAATATTTAATGATTCAGTAACTCAAGGAGAAGTCATATAAATGTTATGTTCTTTAAGAGACTGGCCATAATGTGAAGTGATACATTCTAACTTTTTGGAAATTTAAAACATCAATGTAACTATGAGTATGTATAAAATGGCAATACATAAACATCCTTAGAGACACACAGTTCTGAACTTCCCTATCCATATAAAAGAATTACATTTATTGTCTACAGTAAAGATCTGAAATTCTCAATTTGACAACCAACATCTGAGAATCACAAATGAGGCTCCGTCTGTTGGGATCCTCATTCATTTAGCCGCTTGAATCTTAACTGGAAAGTGCTTTGTTTCTTGCTAAAGGACAGAGATATAAGGATAAATAAATTGTGGTACCTGCTCTTGGGCGGCATTTTCTAATAAGAGGAACAGATGTATCAATAGCTAGTAAATCCTTTTGTTAGAAGAAAATAGGCCAGGTCTGAAGCGAGAGAAGGAATGGCTCCCTCCAAAGCAGGCAGAGCCAAAAGCAAGGCTTTGAGAGGGGCTCCTGAGCAGTCTGCAAGGAGGTTTTCCAGTCAGAAGAGCACAGAGTGCCTTGGGGAGCAGTAACGTTAAATGAAGGCTCCAGCCTTTGCTACTTTGGATAGCTTTCCTCCCTCCGCCCCGCCTTGTCCTGGGCATGGAGGGAGCGTGGCCAGATTCTAGCGTAGGTGCACTCTGTCAAAAGGAGGGTGTTGCAGGATGAGTCTGGAGGGTTCCCCCAAAGCCTTGGGCTCAGAGGAAGGGCTTTTGGAAGGTGATCGGATCTTGCAGGTGTTGTTCTCATCCGTAGATTAACTCACTAGTGAGTGCACAGCTAAATGTGCCATTGGGAGGCGGGGCTGGCTCAGAAAAGGCAGGTCATAGGGGCTGTGACCTGGAAGGGTTTTTCTCCCTCCCCGGCTCCTCCCTTCTGTCTCGCTTCCTGACTACTTTGTCATGGGCAGCTTTCCTCTGCGCAGCCAGCCTTTCGACCCTGCCTTCCTGCCTTGGGGCTGGCCCACTACAGACTGAAACTTTGACATCTGCCTTTAAGTTATGGGTGTTGAGTATTTTGTCACAGCGACAAAGAAGGTGACTACGACAGAGGGATCTAGCTTTAGGACTTTGTGACCTGGAAAAGAATTTCTCAGAAATTACCTGCAATCTGAGACTCTTCCCACACAATGCATCCTTCCTCTTATTTTGTATGAAACACACCTCGGTCAGATGCAATTCCTAACACATGCTAGGTTGGCAAGAGAGATCTGGTACAGGGCTGAGTGATATGCCCTGGATGCTGTGGCTGAAATGCTTCCTGCCTCTTCCCACTGCAGACCCTTCCCAGTCTTTCCCCCCACTGCAGTCTTTCCCCCCACTGCAGTCTCTCCCTGGGCCAGTCTTGTCTTGATGTTGATTTGGGGGAACCCAAGCTAACACACGGAAGAAACTGTACTCCTCTTTCTCTTATAAAGGGCAAGTTGGATGTTTCATTTTTCAGATAAAAAAGCAAATAACTTGCATTGGTTAATCCAGCTGTAAGTTCAGAAGCAGCAGTACAAATCCATACCATTTTCTGTCTTCTCCACTGTGCTGGTATGCTTGTTCTTTCGTGACGCTCAGAAAAGAGTGTTTCCCTCAAAATAAGGGTAGTGAATAGAAAAGGCTCAAAAGAAACAATCTGGAGGGAAAAGACAAGTGAACTTGCTCAGGGCCTCCAAAATCATATGAAAAGTGGAATTTATATGTTCAGTACTGTGTGTAGGCTTCTTTTCAATTTACAGGTAGTTTCTCAATTTGAGTGACCCTAGTTATGGGATGCATGTAGAGCTATAAGCGGTTGCTAGAGAAAAAACAGCACTGTGGGAAACAGGAATGTGGAAGCAAGAGGCAGACAGAACAGAGTTTCTGGGATCAGCCTGTGTGAGGGAGCAAAGTGTAATCTGTGCACGAGGAGGAGCCCATTTGTACTGCAGTAGCTGCAGAGGTGCTCCCTTATCCACCTGGAGTTGTAGAACTGGGTGATCCTTGCTGAGGGGTCAGCCAGTGAGGGAAAGTGCTGAATCTTAGCACAAAGGCATTTACAAGTTGGGTCTCTGTAACAGAAGAAAGTTTCTGCCAGGATTCCAGTGTGAGTCCTCCATAGAACAGGGGAATGGCTTTCTCAGACAAAGAAGGATAAAGGCATACAAACAAGTCACTCATTCATTGGTGCACCAGGCTGCTTCAAAGGGTCTAACATGCGTTAAGAATTGTTTGACATTTGTGACTCCAAGGTGAGCCACGCAAGCTCCCACTCATCCCCACATCCTTGCAGTCACAGATCACAGGACACACAGACAACCAAGGATCATATGTGTTGGGTGACAGGAGGACACAGGCTCTATTAGAGGAGCTCATGGAAGGAGAAACCAAAATCTAGTATTTCCAGAAAGTCCTCCCAGAGCAAAGGGCACTTATGTTAAAATGTGAAGGGTATCTGGAAGTTATACAGGTGAGAGGTTAGGACAAATGGTTCCAAGCTGAGGCAACAGGGATTTCAAAGGCCTTGAGGTGAACTTGGTACGCGTGAGAGTGAAACTGCTCAGCTTGACTGAACTCAGTCTTGTGTGTGCACACATGCGTGCAAGCTTTTATGGCAAGGAATATAAGTGTGCAGAAGAGGGGAGAGTGGCCTTGTGAGTGCAGGTCAAGGAATTAAGTTCTGTGCTCACTTGCTTTATCACTTTCCCTTTCTACCCATGTGTTCTTCCTCCTCTTCTCTCCTTTTGTCTTTACTTCATTTGTAAAGAACAGCAAGGACCCACAAAGCTCTGGCAGTGGGCATGACCTCCATCACAGGTCTGGCACATAGCAAGAGCATGAGAGATGAGCACATTGTGAGTATTTTACATATAAGCAGGGCAAAAAGGTGCTGCGAGAAGCTGCGATCAAAAGAAGCATAGTAATGCTGTCAGAGTCCTCAAGTAGGAATTAAAATCTGGATGGGTACCCTCCAAATCATATAGAAACTGTCCAACTTACAATCTGTAGCAAAAATTATCAAAGGTGCCTCCTCCTGATCCCTGGTAATCTTAAACTCTGGCTACTCCAGGTGTTAAAGGATTTACTCATTTTAAATTACCTTAACCCCAGCTCTCACAGGAATGCTGAACACGGAGGTTTTACTTAGGCCACTTTCTACCAATGCTCCTGTTTTTACATCATGAAAGATTTGGCATTCGGGCAGATAGAGTTGTGAGAAAGAAGAAGGGGAGCCTGTGCTCTGTGCTGGGAAAGAGCACTCAACACAGGCACAAAATAAACCGCAAGGTTCTTCCGTATGAATGGACATTTCCTGCCTGCCCAATCCCCAGTGCTCCCCTGAACCAGACTCCAAAGCCGCGCACAGCCCCTGCAGCGTCCGTGGACGCTGCTCATCAGAGTAGGAGCAGCTGGTTCTCTGACTTCCAGACGTCGGTTTTCTTTTTTGTTCTGAGGCCTCTACGAGTGCTGAGATATTTACTATCTTCTTTAAAACCGATCAGAACTCAAGGTTTTCACTTATGATTGTTCAATAGAGGACAAAACAGGACAAAATTTCAAAGATAAGTTTTTTTTTAAAGTATTTATCTTCCAAAAGGTTACCCTTTGCCCAAAGACTCATTGGTACTAACAGTTTCATTTGTGGTTTCAGTAGGAACCTGCAGAAAGGAAAGCCTTTCAATCCAGCCTTGAAATGTGCAGGAATCACTGGTGGAGTACAGGACACTGACTCCCTCTCATATATGCCTCCCTTCTTTATTTTGCGTAGTTGACACCTGCATTCTTGTTTTGTATTATTTACAAGCCATTGGCAGGTGATGGTCTGTTTGTCTCCAGGAATAATTATAACTGAGTTGAAATCATAACTGATAGATTTTTCCAGTGCAGAGAGAAGTAAAGCAGAATAAAATGCCTTTATCATGGGTGCAGAGAAGACCACAGGAAGGAGAGAGAGAAGTGGAACTTCTGAGGGCCTGTTGTGGGGTCCAGGGTTAAATAGGCCCAAGCTGGGGGTGGAGCTTAGGAGGCAGACCACCTGACATGGCAGACCAGGATTGGGCAGGAGCATGGGAAAAGGAAACTGGCTATTACAAAAAGGGATGTAGGAAGTCATAATTTGACTCAGAGGAAGAGGGGTGGGTTTAGCACATGACCTCTAGTGGCCAGTGCCATATTGGCTTGGCGCCATACTGGCTCAGCACCATACCACATGACCTCTGGGGCCATATTGGCTGGACGCCATGGCAACTCAGCAGGAATTACAGTGAGGCAAGAAACCCATCAATAACCTCTAAGTATATGGTATGTTTTGGTTTTTATGAAAGTCGGTGAATATTATATAGTGTCTTTTGGGTCATTTCCCAGCAGGAATCTATATAGGAACAATGAGGTTCTCATAGCCCTGAAGCAATAAGCTTACTTACCTGTGTTAAGAAATGTACTCCATCCACTGGCAAGTGAAATCCAATTCCCAAAGTTTTGATGATCACTAGGATATTAAGTAAGTTTTCCCTGAATGAAATAATTAAAATTCTAAAGTCACCAACTTCACTTGCATTACACATGTTTAATTACATAAACAAACTCAGTAGAATTCTTTCAGAATGTGATAAATAGCATAGAGAACTAAATTCTCTTTTTATAGATTTGATGTACATAAGCGTTATTTTTGTGGATAGAGTTTTGTATCAGTGGTCATATTTTGATCTACATTAAATTTAAAATTAGATACTGAGAGCCTGTAGTGACTGAATGTAAAAGTAAATTTTGAAATATTTTAAACTAGGCATTAAGTTCTTAATTTTAAATTACAAAGTTTTCATTAAACAAAATCTGGATCAAACTCAGACATATCAACACTATATTTACAAAATTTAGAATATTCATGACAATCATTGTTAAATAAATTTACCTCTTCAAAACCTTGTGAATAATTTGCAGGTGATTAGAATTAAGCCACTGAACACCACCAACAACCAATACTGTCTGGCCAGTATTCTCTAATGGACGTGATCTGAAATCCAGAAAGAAAAACAACACATGTTGCTTTAAAACAGATGGTAAACATTTTAACTGCATGGCTTCACATTTCACTGAACCATGTCTGGCTTCCTGATCACAGGACCTCCTTGTCATTTGTAACTCATTTTCAACCACATTATAGGGTATCTAAGCTTTTCAGTGCATTTGATATATACAGTGAGCAATTATAACTGCTAGTAAAACATCAGTACATTGTGGCATTGTGCTATTCATAATAGCTCCATTGTACCTTTGCAAGAGATGCTCAAGTGCATTCTCAAATGTTGGTCTCAATGCAGAGCTTAGCCAGAACTGAGGATAGTAGGAGTAACTGATCAGAGTCTTTCCGGCATTGACGTTAGGATACAGTTTAGTACCATGCAACTTCTGCCATTCCTGCAGCGTTTTGTTCACTCTTTCAATCAGGTAATACATGATCCCTCTGTTGGTTGAATCGCCAATGAAAATAATCTATAAATTACAGAAAAACATTTTGTTTCCAAATCTTGTGTTTACATGGTATATGAATTATCTAAAATACCCAATTTTTTGAATACTATGTTATTATATGTTAATTGAAAAGATAGCCCATGAAGCTTAGAAATAGCACTCATTGTATTCTCCCCCAAATTTGATTGTTTTCCTTTCTTCTACACTGCAAGTAACGACATCATCTACTAACCCACTAATGCATAGAGCTTTTCTTTTCTTTTCTTTTCTTTTGGTTTTTTTTTTTTTTTTTTTTTGGTTTTTCTCCGGTATCAGGAACCGAACTCACGATCTTGCGCTTGCCAGGCAGGCGCTTTTGCTGCTGAGCTAAATCCCCAGCCCCTGCATAGAGCTTTTCTTTTCATGTCATTTTCAATTTCTTGGTCTTCCTTATGTTCATTACTTTCTCATCTAATCAGCTGGTAGGTCTTATTGATTTAAAAAGTCATGATAGAGTTTATGAAAGATGTGGTAACTGCGAATCCACAGAGATATATCCTGGAGGAAATATTTCTTGAAGAAAGGAACAGAGGTTCAGAATCTGGTTTTCTGAACAACATTTCGTGTCCCAGGTTGCACATCTGAGTGCCATTTGCCCTCCAATAGAGTCTCCCACACCCATACCTGCCTCCCACCCCACCCGGAGCCTGCTTCGGCTCTCACTGCTGTAGCCTTGCCCTGCTCTGTCGCTCTTCTAATGACTCTACCTTCCTTCATGGTGACTGTCTTCTCATTCACCCAGCATGCAGGATTGCTGGGATAAATTTTCCAGCGTCTAGCTCTAATCATCTTATTTGCATGCTCAATTTTTTATTTGCTCCCCATTTTTTATTGCATCAAGTCTGAATTCTATAGGCTCAGGTAACATTTACCAAACTTTTACTGTATATCAGGCTTTCTGATATACAGATTTCCACAGATGAAGAATGAGCCTCAAGAAGATTGAAGTCATAAATCTAAGAAACAGTGAACACAAAACTCAAACCCAGGTTCTCTGACTTCAAGTGCAGGGTCAGTGCCCATCCTTTCAACACAGCTCCTCAAGCAAGCATGACAGACTCCTGCGATTTCACTGACCATGATTTGCCCTCAAGAAAGAACATCTGGTTTTCCTTGTTTTAATCCATCTGCCTTGAAAATTTCTCCCTCTGCAAATTCCACCTGTCAACCCCCAGACCCAACACAAATGGCATTTCTACCAACAAGTCTGCTGCAGCGACCTGCCCCAGAGTTACCTTTGTCCTCTGTGATTCCACACTATATTTTTATTTCCATAATAGATTTTATCAAAGCCTACATGAAATTATGGCCAATTGGGTTTGTGTCTTTTTTCTCATAACTTATCAAGAAGCATTTGAGATGAGTCAATTTCTGATTTTAATTTTCCTCACAGTACCATTAATGCACTTTATTTAATGAATTGACAGTAAAAGGGATTTTGGCTATAGACAATCCCTTCGAACACCTCTTGATTAGATTTAATTTATTCCTCAGTCTTTTTCTTCTTTCTTTTGAGATCTCTTTTCCCTTTGCCATGCACATATTTTCTGCTGATTTTAGCAGTAGACATGTCCATGATTTTCCAGTCACTTGTGCATTTGTACATCCACAGTGAATTTAGTGAGGTTTTGCAAAGTCTTACTCTGTTCAGTAAGTGCACTGAGTGACCAAGTTAATAAATCCAGAAAGCTTCTCTACTTTGCCTTCAGACCAAATATCACTTCCATAAATATGGCCAATCTATAATGACTAACATGCAAGGCCCCGTGATCCTCTCAGTCATGTTCCATTTGGGGTAATAAATTTCATTGGAGTAAAATAATTTTTGAAATAAATAGATTTTTTTTTCTCACTGGATTTGCCCTTTACCTTTTTCTGGCCTAGATTTCTGATTTTTAAAGAAAGATTTTGAATCAGGAAGGCTCTTAATTTTAGATGCTAGTAAATGTTCAACTCCATTTGTATCAGTTTTTTAGGGCTACCATAACGGAGTACTGTAGTAGATTGAGTGAGTTCAACAACAGAAATTTATTTCCTCACATTGCAGGAAGCTAGAAATCCAAGATTGAGGGATGGGCAGGATTGATTCCTTTCTAGGGTCTCTTTGGCTTTTAGATATCTGTCTTCTATGTCTTCACATGGTGCTTCCTCAGTGTGGGTCCGGGTCTAATCCTATCTTTTATTAAGACCCTGGTCATACTGAGTTAGGGAGACCCTATTTTACCTTTTCTCTCTCTTCAAAGGCTACTTGTCTAAACACTGGCACTTTCTGAGGTACTTTCTGAAGTACTACAGGTTAGAACCTTAACATGTTTGATGGAGAGGATACAATTCAGCTCATGGTGAAGGACTTTTGGGATCTAGCTTTTAAAGTAAATTTACCGCTATGGGTTTTTCTTGTAGTTTCTTCTCAGTATCAAATTGCAATCCCTCCCAGCTGCCAGTGGGGTTACCAGATACCTTTAGAGATACAGAGGTTTAGAAAAATCAAAGTAGTTGCGTGTTACTGAAAGAAAAAAACACTTCTAGATTTTCAGTCCTTTATCAGTGTGGCTGTATATAAAGATGTAGCATATTAAGGGACACTAGAAACAAGGAATGTTCAAGGAATGGCTCTTTAGTGACCAGATAACTGTAGGCTATGTGTCCTCTTCAAGGTTTCATTTCTGTATGAGTAAAATGGAGGAAACAAGAGCCCCATCTCAGAGTACTTAAATTCTGAGATAATACAAGCATTTAAATATTTATCCTGGTATACAACTTGTGATACAGCAGCAAGGCCCAGGACAGGCAAGCAACAGTTTGCCTTGCACTGCCTGGTGAAGCACTTTCAATTCATTAGCTCATTTAGAGAAAATGTCACAGAAGACAGGAAATGCCTAAGTCACAGCGGTCTCCTTCCTACCCTACCAACCCTGCAGCCCTGACTCCACCAGGACTTTCAGAGCTGCTGCAGAAGCCAGAGTTCTGGATGGAGAACTTTACGAAACTTCACCATAAGCAAACAAGCACTCTCAAAACAGGTACCTGGAGCCTCCAGAGAGAATTTGGAACTAGCAAGAACTACAGGAGCTACAGAAGGAAGTATTACCACAATCATCTACAAAACATGTTCTTCTAAACTGCAAACATTCTACATAGCATTTTCCAGAGGGTCATCTTATCCTACTACTTTTCATTCACGAAAGGTAGAAATGACAAAGCATAACTAAAATGAAAATGCGGTTGTAGTTTTAATATTGACTGCTGTGCCAGTGAGGCAGCTTTTATAAGAAGTTAATTGGTAACCCTACCCAAATGATTTCTAACTTAAAATTTCAGCTCTTTTAAGGGCATAACACAGTTAAAAAACAATACTATAAATCAATGGTCCTTTTCAGTCACATGATTCATATCTAGTCTTTATGTCTTTTATAGCACTCTGATTTGCTAAATTTAAAAAGGAAATGTGCAGATTATTTGTTTTAAAAGGCTTAACTTATCTTAAATATTTATGACTATCCATACAACTATAAATACCTCTTTTCTCTCCCATGAGAATTATTTCCTGCTACTAGTGTGCACAGGAATTGGTTGCTATAAGCAATCAAAAGAAAAAAATGAGAACATTAAATACAAATAGTCAGCAACAGAGAGTAGACTCTGTGGTAATGGGACAGGGTGAGGGAGAAGAGGGAAAAAAAAGAGTGGGGAGAGAGAAGAGGAAGTAAACATGACCGAGATGAAATGTGTACTCGTACCAGTTCCCCAGGACGAATACAATTATTATGTATCACAAACATACAGTAATAAAATGTAAAATAGAGAAATACAAGTAGCAAGTATTCATGAAAATAATCAACTCTGTGTAGTAAGACATTAAAATAGGAACTGGGCGTGGTGGCAAATGCGTGTAATCCTAGCACTCGGGAGGCTGAGGCAGGAGGATTGCCATAAGTTTGAGGCCAGCCTGGGCTACATAGTTAATTCAGAAGCATCCTATACTATACAGCAAGACCTTGTCTCAAAAAAAAACAAACAAAACCAAACAAAACCAAAACAAAAAACAACAAGAAAATCCCAAAACATTAAAATAACTATTTCCCCCTCTAACTAAAGCACAAATATTTTTCAAAACCCAGTCATATCACAAAGTCATGCAAACAAATGCTCTCATGTATTGCCAGGTGTTAGGACTTTTTGTGTTTTTGTAGACTACCGAACTTCAATGGCCAGACCACTTTTACCAGATACAAAAGTAAGATCTCATTGGATAGACAGATGAGTTAGAACTTTGCTGTTCTGTAAACTGGTGCTTTTAAGGAAATCCATTTCTAGGAATTATTTAAGGATATTTCTCAAAATATATTTTAAAGGTAAAATGAATTGGAAATAGCATAAAGGCTTAAGAACAAATGGCTGATTATACTCAGGAAAATACACTTGATTTCATCTTTTTTCATGATATTATGAAAATATTGTGATGAGAATGATTTAATGATAACTTTTGTAAAGACCTGATTATAATCAGAATATAAATGAAGGTTGGATTTTTGTAAATGTAAGTACAGTGGTGCCTTGGTTCATGAACTTAATTCTTTCCACAATTCCAGTCACAAACTTAATTGGACGAGAACTGAAACAAATTCAGTGGTTAGCTTCAACGTTGACTTTACAGGGAAATTTGATTCAGTTCTCATCCAATTTAGTTTGCAACCAGAATTGTGGAAAGAATTAAGTTTGTGAACCAAGGGACCACTATATGCTTATGAATAGAAAGGGTCCTAGGAAGATATTCACAATTTCTTTGAATGGTGGAGTCATGAAAATATGCCCTTTTTGTTCTTTTGTATTTTCTAGAATGAACATATATTAGTTATAGGAACAATAAATCCATTTTGCTTAAAAACATTTTGAAGTTTCATACAAAATGTACTATTAATGTATTAATCAAGTTAAATTCATTTCCACTATGGAGAACAGTGTTTTAGAGTTGAATGAAG